AAGATCTATATGTATTAATTGATTGTAAAGTATATTTTTGCAGAAATAATCAGAAGATATCTCGTTCGAACGTGCATTCCTTTCTACACGAAACTTCTTTTATTATTTCCCTTTCTAAGATTTTGTAAACAACAACGCTGTCACCTGCCATTGAGCAAAATAAAAACCGTTTAACAATTTATTTTTCACTAAACGAGTAGCACAGGTAGCGAGGAACGAGTGATGCGCAGTTAGCAACTTTACAAATACATTATGGCTGCACAGCAGAAACAGAAGTATGGCAAAACTTTAAAGCCCTGACTGCCCTTGCCATTCGTAATTGCATTGCGAAATATTTCCTACGCATTTCTCACAAAACTTCTGTCGCTTTAACAAACTTAAAATGCGCAAGTTTTCGCCATGGAAAAGTATTCCTCCCTTGTCTTTCATTTTCTCTCCCGCTCCCGCTGGAGGCATCTAAGCTCACGGCTTATGCATTTACTTGAGCGACAGCGCTAAGCGCTTGTACGCACCTCGCCCTCGAGTTGCATATTAGAGACGCGCCTGGGGAACGCCTTGCGTCGTGAAGTCCTGAGATGCTGTGAAGTGTGCAGCGCGCTAGTCTCGCTTGAGGACACAACGGAAATCCGCTGCTCGAAAGTTGCTCGCTGCAACCCCTCGTGAATGCTTCCTCTCACCTGAGCCGCTTCGTTTCCATTGTAATTCTTTTCGCTGCTTTTGTTGTTTCCCATTGTTTTAGTAGTCACTTTCTTGCATGCTTTGAAATCGAGTTGAGTATTTGTGCAAGTGCAATTGCTCTTCTTTTCTTGTTCTTCTGTGTTTGTTCACGACTTAGTGTGGAACTTTCACTTTTCGTGCAAAGTCACTAAACCTTACCCCTGTCACGTTGAAGCCACAAAAGATTGCCATATTCTTGCAAATAATTGCAAGTCTTCCCAGTTCTGTTTGCCCCCTGATCCACGCAAAAGCCAAATGCGAAGCTTGGAAATGATTAAAATTAATTAATTTCATTTAGTTAAGTTACAAAACTGATTTCTCATTGTTATAAGATTACTAATTGAGTTGGGGCATTTTTTATGTTCAGAATTCACAAATATATTCGCAATTGCTCTCAACTTGGTTCTGACTTTCTACTTGGACTGACATATAATATATTGCTCAGTTAAGCAAGAAAAGTATAACTTAAAATAGTTCAAATGGTATATTTTTTTTTGGAGTGAGGATTCCACAAGTTTTATTCCCTAACAGATTTCTAATAAGGCTTTTAGATTTTGAAATCATTAAGCGGTTTTGCCATTACGGCGTAACTCTAAGCGAAACTAGACTGCAAGAGAGAACGATAAGAAACCCCAAATGATGTAAACCCCAACAGGTATTTAAGTGGATTTATAGAATAGAATAAAAGTAGTCACTTGTGATCTCGAATTTCGTTGCAACCAACGAAAGATAATCAAATTTTCCTATATATTTCGATCAATATACGAACTAATAACGTATTGGGCTTAAAATCACATACTGAGGTAAATAATTTCGATTCGAAACCCTAATGAGGCCTTCTTATTCCAAATAGCAACTATTACTGTTTTTAGTCACACACTTCTAGATGGTCCTTCTTTGAATATTTTGTTAGGTCATGATTCAAAATTCTCAGCTGAAAACGACAATATTACTAGCTTATAGTTGGCGATTATGACCGATGTCCTATCTCAAAGTTAAGTATTTTCAGTATGTACCCAGTTCGATATATTGTACTTACTTATATCCTATCTATTTTTTTGTAATGTTCGACGTTTAGTTTGTGCCCCACAGTATATCAAAATTGAAGAATGAAATCATCTGTGATGGTTAACTTAGTTGATTTGAAAGGGCTACAAGTTGATGCTTTCTTATACTCATGCAACATGTAGCTACAGAGTATAATACTTTTGTTCACCTAACGGTTGTTTGTATAACCTAATAGTGTCTGCTAAGTAGACGCTGAAAGCTGATCCGAGCGGAAAACTGATTTTGATCAGCGCTAATAAATTTTACGTTCCGCAGAGAGAGCTTATTTCCGCGCGTACTTTGCTATTATACTCGTACATGTTATCTTTTTAATCTGGTAATTTTATTTATGCTTAGGCAAGTGAAAAGAGAAGACATGGATTCCTCAGATGAAGAATATTCTGCTACCAGCTTTGCATTAAATATTAAAAATAAAGCATGGATAATATTCGTAAATACAAAACGGGACGAGTTTGGCGAACTTCGAACTTTGTATAAAGATTTAAAATATTATCTGCAAAAGTATTGAGAATATATACACTGAGAGTATGGAAACCATGTATTTATGTACCCCAAGTAATTGATTAGTAGTCTAACATCAACAATTTCATTGCGATGGTCGTAATAAAAGTATTTCAAACGCCCTAATTTTATTCGTCATAGCAAGTCTTCTTGGTTATCCGATGTTTTGAAAGTCGTCAGATTGGCATAACATAATAATGGATATTATAATATGACACAATTTCCACGACATCTAGTACTACGCTACCTCAAATGGCATGGATCCGGCCAAGATGTGGTTTTTTGGCCAATATGATTCTGATATGCAGACAAGACTATTTTATTTATTTTATTTTCATAACAACATTCTATGTCCTCAAAAAATCAACAGCTGCTAAATAATAATCGTTTTGTAGTAAAAACGCCCTTGTGTATGTCTTTATAGTGACAGAAAATTATTTAGTATATAGCTTCTGTGTTGGCAGTCCTTTCACAGATTCGAGCCAATTAGTTAGACCGGATTGTATTGAGAATTCACATAATAATAAATGTTACAAAAAATAATACGAGTATATTAAAATAAAAATTTCCTCATAATATCGATTCATTAGTACAGCGCAAGTAACTCTCAAATCGCCAATCATAAAACACCTACGAGTAAAATTCGAACTTCACTGCATGTCAATTCTCTATTTAAAAAAAAATTACTCACATCGATTCTATCACCAGTTGACAAAAAGCGAAATGTGAAATGAAATTCGCTCTCGCCAAAAACGACTGAAATACAAATGCAATCTATATTGACACGGTAGCGAGAAGAGAAATAAAAGAGCACATGACAAAAAAAATATATAATAAAATACGAGTTAAATTCCAATAAATATCTATGAGTGTGAGCATATAAATGTAATTGAAGAAAGAGCACAGCGAAAAATGAAAGTGAAGTGCAATAAAAAGTAAACGACCCACGACGAGCGGATAATGAGTATTTTATAGACACAGCTAAGAAAAAAGCACGAACAACAAAAGTCAAACAAAAGCAAAAATTGCAATAAGATCAAATGTGAGAAAGAACTCGAAAAGAAATGGACAAATTGAAATAGCTTGCACAAGTACTTAAACATAAACCTTTTTATAGGCAATCAGGCATTGTGGCGCAAATAAATGATTTCGGTAAAAGAAGATGTGGCAATTAGCAGAGGCAAATGACGAGTCGTTAGTTAGTTAATCATTGCAATAATTATCGGACTTGATGAGGTGCGAGTTAAATGTCGAAAGCGGTTTAATGTTAAATGTTTAACTAAACGGATATAGAAAAAGTGCGTCCAGCGCAACAAAAAAGCAAGAAAAACCGTTAACCACAGTTGTGCCGAATGCGGAATAATATAATACAAATAAAAGAGTTTTCCATACAATAACTATATTCCGATCATTTAGTTTGAATGGCAGCTACCATATATGCTATAGTGGTGCGATATCGGCAGTTCCGACAAATTAGCAGCTTAGCTTAGCTTTGGGTACCCTGAGCCCGGTAGAAATTGTCTCCGATTTGAAAACAGTTCAAAAATGGACGAAAGCAGTCAATAATTATGCATATGTTCCATATGAAACCATTTGAAGCTACACCAGCTTCATCAGAGTAAAACAGTGCACAAAAAGTGGCTCAAATGTGTGGCACCTTCCATCTAAAAAGGGTCGAAGTCAGACTATGTTTCCAAAAACCACCAGATGCCGAATGCGGAAAAGTTGGGAGCCTCTATATATTATATTTCAATATAATAAAGTTGGCATGTTTTCATGATAAAATGTAGTATTGTCTGGTTTTAAAAATGGCTTATGTTGGATCAGTATTATGCTTAGTCCTTATAGTATATCTGATAAAATGATTTTCGATTATTCGAATAACTTTATATTGCAAAGGCATATCGGTCAATATGTTTGACATTTTAATAAAGTAAAGTGAAAAAGGTTTCTTGACCGCAATGCAACTTTGACTGAGACCCTCGTCTATAACCCTAATATAAATATTGGTGCCCCTATAGTTGACTTTTCTTTCAGATGCCCAATATTTAGCAAATTTCGTTCCTTTGGTTAAGTTCAGTCATAGCAGAATATTCTGATTAGCTTTTTATTATTCGGTAGTTAAACTTAATGAAAATCATTATGTACACTGTAATAGCACTAAAATGATTAATATGGTGAATTGCGTCACGCAGGTTGATTAATTAAGATAAATATTTAAAATTTTAGGTCTTAGATATAAACTATTTTACTTTAATTTAGTATAGATGTTAATTGTTTCGGTTAACTAGCTTAATTTTCGGAATATTTTGAATACCGGCAGAACTCTCACGTACTCGAAAATAATTCTCTCAGGAATTCGGGTTTTATATTCAAGATGTCGACAGTTATCAGCTATGCTTAGTTTAGACGTGATTATACTGAATGTGTATATCATTTTAAGGAATATAAGAAACTTATATGCCAAATTTTTTGCATTTTAGTATTGTGTTAAGATTTATACTGTAGCTGCTGATTAGATTTTAATTATTATTTTATTAATATATTTAATTTATGAAAATTTAATCAAAATTAAAAACATCCATTTAACCAGCTGAATTGACAAGCAACATTTATCCATTTAAACGCTGCAAACGAAAAATTGTAAATTTTTTTAAAGTATTCCTGCTAAAAGCAACTTACACTGTTGCCTCTCCGCTTTCGTTTCTTTGCAGCACGTGGCTTTGGTATGCGTGTCGTTGGCGGTAAAACTGGCGCGGATGGCCGACTTTTCGCCTACATTGTGTGGACGGTGCCAGGCGGACCAGCTGAGAAGAACGGGCTACAGCAAGGCGATAAGGTAATTCGTTTAACTTGTTTTTATCATGAACACCATCAGTATCGTCAACGCTTTGACAGTGTTAAGTGAGCGCTAAAAGGAGTGGGTAATCTTATTTTCGTGTCAAGCCTATACGGTGTGCTTGGAATTTTCATACATCATATATTTTACCAGCGCGACTAAAATTGTTATTGTATGTGAGAGATTGTACCGTTGTTTCACAACAGATAGACAGCCAATGGATATCGTTAATTTAATATCGCTACGAATCAATTTATTTCCGTTATTTACACGGTGCTGCCATCACTATTGGTAAGCGCTGTCGAAGCATATTGTGAAATTTATTATTCGGTGCTTTTTGATTTTTTCCTTTGTCGGTTTGTACATTTTTTATCGCTTTTCGCGGTACAGCGGTTTCACGTCAAAGTTTTTGCATGTCGTTTGCTCTTCGTAAGCGCAGCTGCTTTTATACCACGAATTTTTCAAAGTTTTCTTGTTTTCTTTTGTATGCGTTTTTTTTTCACTTTGCTGCCACAAGCTTCCTGTGTGGCTGTGTGGGAGGGAGAGCGTGCGTGTGTGAGCCCATGAAGGATTTCCGCTCTGGTAGTGGATTTTTAGTAGCCATAATTTTTTTATGAGCGCAACTTTAATGCTCTTACTAACTCAATTTCTAAGCGTTGTCGTCCTTGTGTGCGCCGAAGCTCATCGCCTTGCATCCTTTATTCATAATGCTCATAATAATAGTAATAAAGCTGCATTGCGACTTATGTGCCACTTGTAGCTTATTATAAAATCGCATTCATCATTACTAAAATCTCGAGGGAAGGCAAAATTTATTTGTTATACATAACGGTGGTTTAAAAATAAATATTTCGGCGTTTTATGAAGCACGTTTCGTAACATGCACACAGATGCTGTCTTGACTTCTCATGCTGTTTTGAAAATAATTTTAATATCTTCGGTTCAGTGGCTACATTTATGACTCAGCAATAGTTTCTTCATGACAAAAAAAATTAATTAAACTGTATATTGCAATTAAACGACTTGCCTTCCTAGCCTAATCAGTTAGCTGTTTTATGCTCAAAATACCTCGTTGAGCTGTTTTATGTCTGAAGTGGGAAAGGAGGCCTTAAATGAACTATAGCCAAATATCGTTTGCACACTCGTTTTTTCAACATATATTTCAGATATCCAAAATCCAGATCTTGGTGCGATTAAGCTCGCAATGACAGTATATAATTTAAACTATCGACGGACTTGAATTCAAATTATACTCTGCTTTGAATCCGAATATGAGACTTAAACCCATAAAATCGATACAAAAAAAAATATGGATGCATTATGTTGAATTCTCATTAGACCTTGGAAGAGAAAGTGAAAGTTAAATTTTCAAATTCTCAATGACAGAGTGATTAGTATCTTGATAGGCATGATATTATAACCAGATTTCACGTACGTCCCTTTACGAGTACATACCTAGTGGGAAAATGAACTTTGTAACGAACCTGTCCCATATAGAACCCGATATCCTACATGCTTATCAACACTATTGAGCTTCGGCTTGGTTACTCCACCTGAGGAAGACAAAACATACCTCTACGTCTTTTGACACCGACTTTCGCACCGAAAATATTATTTACTGGAGTTTCATCATTCATCCTCACAACATGAAGGAACCAGTGCAGCCGCTCGATGTTTATTCCCTTCATAATTACAATGACGTTGTACAGCTGATGCAGTCGTCGCCAACACGTAAAGAGCCAAAGATTTTGGAATTTTTCACTGCTCGAAGCGCTAGCTCAATAGTTTCTCACATCGTCCATGCTTCTGCCTTAAAGAGAAGCACGGGCACTAGCGCGATTTTTAGAGTGTTAATTTTGTGTGTCGAGAGAGAGATCTACATACTTAATGCCTTTGCTGAACCTGCCGCCTGACATCATTGTTGCTGTTTTTAGCGGGTCCAAAATAAACGCAATCCTTGACAGCTTCAAAAATATGTATAATTCCCATTCCTCATTCTACTTCACATTCCTGCTGGTAACCAAAATACTTACATTTCGTTTTACCCTTATTAACCACTAGACCCATTGGGCTAATTTCCTTACAGCCACAAAAGTTTCGGAGACATTATGCTTGCTATGCACAATTATGTCTATGTCGTCGGCATATGCCAGCGGCTGGACACATTGGTATAATATCGTGACCGATCGATCAATAACTGCTCTGCCTAGAATAACATCCGTCACAAAGTTGAAGAGGTCACAAGATAAAGAATCGAGCAGTTCAGAAAAGTCCATTCCATTCGTCCAAAAGACATTCCACATGACACGCCTGGTTTCAGTAAACTTCTTAGCCTAACATAGAAAAAATATTGAAATGAAGTTCATATTTTGAGGAAATGCTAACATAACTAATATTTGGTAAGAAAATAGATCTTCGCTAGAAAATTGAGGATTGTCTCAAAGGTAATCAAGGCTAGAGATTATTGCGTGCACTGTATACTTTTGTGAATTTTATTTCTGGTAAACGTGTCTATAGGAATTTTTCTGCCTTGGTTATTTCTTCATAGTCGAGAGGTTATATCACACAAAGTTGGTTCAAGTGGAAAGTCGGAAAACAAGAGTACAAAAAAGTTTCAACTAAATAATTTCTCTGACTATTTTACAGATACTCGAGTGGAATGGCATGTCGCTGATTGATCGTAGCTTCGAGGAGGTCTGCGCTATAATGGACCGTACTGGTGACATTGTCGAATTGCTCGTTGAGCACGCCACTGACTTTCGTATGTGCGATCTATTCGATGAGAATCTACCACCGGGCAATAGCGGCAATCAAAGCGGTCCGCGGCGTTCAGGTGACGGTCCTGTAGGACTGGGCTTAATCGCGGGTAAGTCCGAGATGTTCGAAACAATTTTATTGCCAACAATAATTTTGGTTATTAATTCACTTAACAACGGTGAAATAACTAGCACACAAATAATGTAATTGATTTTGCTGATAATTATATGATTGTAATGTGATTTTTTCTCTTTTTTCTTTTCTACTTTTTTAAAATTAACCGTTCTTTTAACATCTCTACACATTTATATCAAATATTTTGTCATTTTATCTGATTTTTCATTTATTCGCTCTCCACAAACTCACCAAAATATACCAACAACAAAACACAAAAACTCAACAGACCCTGAAACAACCACAGACAAATCACCGGCCTCGCCGACCAGACGGAAATTACCCAAAACTCCGGTATAAAATCCTCAACAAAACTCTAACAACTCAAGAAAAATTTAGATTTACATATATTATGAGAAATTGTTTTTGTTGGCTTTTCCATTTGAATACTTTGCCAAACTGAAATGAAAGTGTGTGTGTGTAGAGGGTATATACTTCATGTATATATGTCTTTTCGGTGAAACATCTGCCAACAATTTGAGGCAAAGCAAGTAGAAATGTTTATTGCGAAAGTGAAAGCCAACAATTTCTTTATTGTCTGCAGTTTTATATGTATATCAAAACCAAAACGACAAAGAAAGTCTTAAAAATCATAAGATACAAAAGCTCTAGGCAACTATAAGTACTAAGTAAGCCGAGACAGTAGCCGTAGATAAACAAGCTATATCATACACTACTTATAAATAACTTAGCGCACTTGCAGCAAGCTATTTAATGGTTCGCTTTTTAGATACATTTTAATTTTTATAATACATTTTTATTTACCATACTTTTTAAAGCTTTCTTTACAAGCTACTTATGAAACTTAAAACCGTATTTTTTTCGTTTTTGTTATGGTTTATAAATAAAGTTAATATTTTTCAAAAAAGTAATTTCGAAACTCTACGAACTTTCGCTTTTTCAAGCAGAGATTGCTGCCATTAAGGTGGCAGTGGATGTTCTACTCCTAAGTGCAGCCTCTTTCATTGCGGTGAGCATACACCCCGATAGCGAAGCAGCAATACTAGCTTTGAGTTCGCTCACTGTGCGCTCAAAGTTAGTCAAGGAGTATCTGTCCTCACTAACGATAGCATCAAGCTTCTTTATTATCAGATTCATTTAGACGCCTAATCATACCGAAATCGCTGTAAACTGCAAAGTTGGATATAAGTTGTTCTCTTGCATTCTAGTGCTGCAGAAGATTCACTGATCCATCTTGCCGTAATCGTATAAGTTCTAACTGGTCATTATCGCATAAGCGTATCTGACCGCCTTAAGGCTAAAAATCTTATCGGAACCTAATAAAGTCAAAGTTGTATGAAAGAAGCTGAGGTGAAAGCATCTAGGCACTGTCCGCTCCATTCATCAGCTTGTGCAAGACTGAGGTTAAAACATCACGACAGTCATATCTCAAAAGCTATCAAAGGGGTAATTTTAGGGTAATTCAATCAACAGTTTAGGAGGGATCACAATGGACTGGCGTCCTCAGCTATCCAAGTGGATTCCATTTTGGTTTGACCTTTCAACCCAACCTTCCGTAATTTAACACAACTTCATGGCAGTTTCTTGAAACCATATAAACAGAACTTCATATTTTGAAATGAAATGTTAAATCAACCTAGTTTCTGACATTACTAATAAAGAAAAGAGTCATGTTATGCTTCGCATCTTATGAGAACATATTTAAAACTCTCAATACATTTTTTAAATTTTTATGCATGATTTTATCCTCTGCGAAAAAGTCCTAAAAAATGTTGGGAAAAAGGTTTATTCGGCTATTATGGGTTACAACTCGACTCAGTTGTATTAAAATTGAACTAATTTCGGTTAAAAATATATTGATGTTGCCAGCCTAAAATACAAAGATTTGTCATATGATGATTTTGAAAAAAAAAATAAAACGAAACGATTAAGTTCAGTTATGCGTAATTGTGAATAAATAATGATGAGTATTGCCATTAATTTATAAAACAACGACAAAAATGTTACAGCCAAGTGTCGCGAACAGTCGACTCCGTTAAAGTAGCACACACTCAGAGAGGATGGGTTTTCTTAATTTAAACAAAATCATTTATTAAAAGTTACATTAATTTTGTAAACAAATTTTTGAAAAAATAACTGCTGCTATGACATTTGCTTATAAAAGTTTTTTGTGTGATTGCCGACAATAGGGTTGTAAATCGTAAAACCACAAAAACGTCTAAAGACGATAAAAATGTATATTTTTTTAGCAGGTTGAGTGTTAATGCAATTGAAAAATTTCACCTTAATTGGCATTGAGTTGTCAACTATGATAGAAGCATAACATTGTAATTTAAAAAATACTCCTTAAACACTTTCATTAAAATTATTCAAGGCAAGCTTATTCTGAGCTATCAAAGTTACGGTAAAAGATCAAATGACAAAAATTTGGTGTGAAACAGCTTTGACTACCTCTACCGTATGAGTGGAATGACTTAAAACTAGGGACAGTGTAAGTAAGCTCTGTTTAAACTCAGCTGGTATGAAATGCTCTCCGTACAGCTTTCTTATTAAAAATATAACTACATCCAAGCTTTGTGTTTTCAATTAGCAAGCAAAGCACTCTTACTCCTAAATGACAATATAGCCGAGTGCAAAGAAGCGTGTTAGTTACGTTCGATTCAAAAACGAAATTACTTTAGTAATACTTCTCTCTAAGTAGAGAATTTATATTAAAATAATTTTATTTAGTTAATTTTATATTAAATATCCTTAATTTTTTTAACGCAATAGACAATATTTGAAAATTTATTGTGGGTTTTTAAATGTTATAATTCTAAATCACGTCGAAAGTAATTTATATAACAGTTAATTACAAAAAAACGATTTATTTTAGTTTATAAACTTTTCTTATTTTATTAGTATTTTCATTATTATCTTTTTATTTTCTTTCTTAGTATTTTTAATTTTTTTTTTTTTTTTGTAATATTTAAAATTTTTAAATAGTTAGTCTTTTTAAATGTGTAATACAATTGATAACTCTGATTTCCGTTGGTAGTGCTTATTGAAAAAATTAATTTAGTTCAAAAAATGTCTTAGTACTTTTAATTTCTGAAAACAAAATTGTAGCTTTACTTACAGAATTTGTATTTTTAATATAAACAAAATTGCCAAACAAGTATTTCTTTGAATAACTGTGCGTAGCTAAAGTCATTTCCAAACTCTATAATGCTATCTTTTTATACTTTTATATATTTTTTAAATAAACTTAATGCTAAATGGCCAACAACACACTCACACATAATAAAAAACCTACATACAAAACGAAAACATACACCGAAAAAAAATATAATACAATAAAAAAAAAAGAAATAATAAATAATAACTATAAAAACATAATAATAATTATGAATTGTGTGAAAAAGAAAGAAAAAGAATAACTACATATTAAATAAATGTAAGTGATATTACTTTTGGTAGCAAAAAACCAAAACCAAAACCAAAAACAAAAACGCTTTTATAATTTCCTACTACTATTTTCGGGAGAGAAACTATGACTGTCGTTTTTCCACTCAATTACTGAAGTTATTGCTGTTTGCATTTTTTTCGTTTCTAACCTACCTGTTCGCGTTAAGCTCGTTAATATTTTTTCTGGCAACCTTAAACTGCCCATCAGTTTGTTACAATTTTTTCGTAAAATTACTCGAACAACTTCCAAATACAATAATAACTTCTGAACTAAATTTTCATTTCATTCTCATCTATCCATTACTTCCAACATAATTTTCTTTGAAATAAATTGCAAAATAAAAAATATTTAAATATTTGATGTTGTGTAGTTAAAAATCAGTAATTTGCATATACATACATATATACACACATATGTACATATATTTACGTTATTCAATTATCTAGCCATAAAGTAAAGTACAGTACTTAAATTGTTACAGTTAATTATGTTTAGTAATTGAAATGTTGAATTACTGCATACTCTTACATTTAAGTAGCTGTTTAATTAAAAAATAAATATGTATTTAGACAAAAAACATGCACGTACAATGAAACTGTATGTAACTGTATATACATAAGTATGTACCTACGTAAACACGTTACAAATAAATCGCTCGTTCGTGGTTGCCATATTGATTTTTTTTCTGCTTGAAAAACAGCGATTTTAACGACATCTAATTTTGCATAAAAAATATATATTCTTTAATAAAAATAGAAATATACTTGGTGCTTAATTCATTAATTACATATATGTAACATACTTATTGATATTTATATCCGCAAATTAAATATTTTTTATAACTTTCAAAATACTTACTTCTGAAAATGTTTGAATTTTTTTAAATATTGCTGTTATTGGCAACACTGTCGTTACTACGTTTTCGTTGTTGTTGATTGTGTTAGAAACAGCTTGGCAACAACAACCCTAAATACCCAACCAGAAAAGTTATTCTGAGTTATAAAACCGAAGGTTGGTTCAACATCTCTTTGCTACTCGAAACGTATCAGCAATTATCAGACTTTAATAATATCGCTTCTGAACGAGTAAGGTGAAGCAACAACAACGCACTAATTGTAGAGATCAAGTGAACTCGAGTTTTGCTTCTCTTGAACGTTGAGAAGATTGAGATGCAATTTCCTAGGATCACGCTGAAACCAAATTTCATCGTTAAGAATTTATTATTGATATAATATCTTCGTTATAGTTGCTTTGGATATTAAAATAACCATTTGGAATATATTATACAACCAGTCAGTACCGAAATAAAATATTTCTTAATATAAAATATTTTCTTATTGAACAGTTTCGTAAAACTGAAAGGAAAAAGTGTTAAGTTCTGGTTATGAAAAGAGCTTTTGCTCTATACTGAGATAATAGCCACAGCTTTTTCAAGCCACAATATTGTAAAATATTCCTGAAAACATCTTTATTTTAACAAAAGTCAACAGCACAAAGGAATAAACGATTTCCTAAAACTTCTAGAGCTGTGCAGGCTCGCCATATTTCCGGTGATTACGACCTCAAAAAAAGCAAAAGAGTTAAGTCCTTTCTAAAGACTTAAGATAGATTTGCATAGTGCTAAGAAGAATTGTTGGAGATTTCAGCAAATAATTGCCAGTGTCAGCAATATACTTCTACCAACTTCATTTAATTTTTGATTCACTTTTTTGTGCTCAAGCACCTTTTCGCTTACCCAAATTGTTTAATATAACTTCAACATGCATTGGTGTAACTAACTGTATTTGATTTTTTATTATAATTGTTTTTGTAAAATATCGTTTTTTCGAAGAGCAAGCCAATTGCTCTCAGTGTAAGAACAAAGCACCAACAATAGAATTTTAAGCGGAATGAAAAACAAAAGAAACTTACAAAACTCACTCAAAAATGCTACAAAACTCAAAAACAAATGCTTTAAAATTGTTATTCGAAAATTTTAAAACTAGTAAATTGAAAATGTTAAAAATTTTAAAAGAATATAAAATACTCTTACATACGTACATATATTGAGAGAGAACCGCTTTATTATATAATCTGTGCCACATGTTGCGGTGGTAAAAAAAAAAGAAAAATGCTCAAACGGTCAAACTAAATTCTAATCAATTTATATTAAGAGAAATATTTTGTATTAATTGAGGACTAGTTTACATAGTGTGATAAATTCGATTGCGAAAAAATATGGGTGTCCGCTACGAAATAAGTTTCGAATGCAAAAATTTTAACACTCAGTTTAGGTAGAGTGATTGAAGCTATGTTCTCTCAGATAACTGTTTTACTTCCAAAAAACGTATGCGATTTGAGTAGCTTCCAAAAGAATAGCCAACTTAGTCACTGAAACTGTTTAATACAAGTATAGAAAAAGAAAGAAGAGAATTTGTTAACTTAGACTGAGTTCACACACGTAGACTTTTGTCGACCAAGCTGGTTTTTTTCGCGAGAGCATGGCGAAGCGACCGTGCCGCTCGTGCTCAGGCAACACGCTTTGCGTTCTTCTTCGAAACATTCTACTGCTTTACAATTAGGCATTCTTTTTAATTTTGACATTTTTTCCATAGTTGCAATTGCGATCGGTTTCAAACGTATAGTAACAATATGTTCGGAAATTTTAATTTTATTATCTATTTTGTGTATGCAATATGCGAATATGCAAAATATAAAAAAAAAACATTTTAGAAAAGCGTAAATAAAGATAATAATTAGCTAAGCAAAAATATGTTTGTGTACCGCGTACTAGAACCGTATAAGAATTTGAGAATGTGATGTGAAAGGGAATGTAAAATTCGAATTGCTAGGCTCGTGTCGCTCGTGTGAATGCAATGGGCGATACCAAAAGAGAATTTGCCAAAAAAGAAGGAGATAAGTTCTCGTGTGTAAAACCAGTTTTAGAGCAAATTCAGCGAATACTACTCATATATGCTTAGATATAAACCATTTGGATATTAAAATCAAGTATTAGCTGAAATAATTTCTTAAAAAAAGATCAAATAAAGTGGAAAAAGGGCTTCTTAATAAGGTCGAGTTTATACAGAGAAATTATCGAGGCAGAAAACATGTTTGTAGTGGAAAGAGAATTACATTCTGAGCCAATGGAAAGCAGACTATAAGATAGTATTATGTTTGTATATGCGTTTACACAGAGATGACGTAGAGTACTCTCAGCTCTCCCTTTATCATCGATCATGGCATTAGCGACGAGAGGGCAAATTTTAGTGTTGACAGTTAGTGATGACTTGAAGTTCGCTCAAATAACTAAATGAGAAATGTATATACATATACTTAAATCAGTTATATACCTACAATTTGTTTGAATTATGTCTAACTAAAAACATAGTTCCACTATTTCGAATTTCAAAAGGATGGGAAAAAGTAAAATATTTTACATATGTTAGCCTCAAGAAACGTAACACCTGACGCTCTAACTTATGGATGACATATAGAAAATTTTTTTTTAAAACTTCTTAATAATTATAAGAAAATAGATTTTTATTTATATTACAACATTCAAAAATGATCAGACGTTAAAGTCAACATTGCTGACAGCGAGTTAAAACAGCGATACATTTAGCTAGTATTAGTTTCTTTAACATTTTTACTGCTATGACTTCAGAATAGTATAACTCCATATTATTTATTTGCAATAATCTTCTTGAAGTAGTGCATGAGCAAAGTCCAACTAGTTGGCCAATAAGAAACTTTCACCGGTGAGGTATCTATGTAAGCTAGTTCTAAGCTAAATATTTATATAAATTTTATCGATAACTCTTATAAATTTACCGTTTTACGAGTCTTATTATTACCGGAGCTACAAAGTATGAGGGGTTTAGCAGGAAAAAAATTGCGAAATAATAACAAAATGTTCAAACATTTCAATTATAAAAATAGCACGATAAGTGGCACGGCTGAGCCCTGTGAATACCCTCACCTACAATATTTTGAACCTTGGTGACGATTTTAAGCTGTCTTATTGCATAAGTTATGCATGATTTCGCTGTCTTCGAAAAAGAACAATAAGATATTTAAATAAACTTATAGTATTACATAAAGAAAAATTAAAAATAATATTTAATGCTTACAAAGTGTGAGCATAATATGTATGTTATAGATGTGGCAACTCTTAAAATTAATGATGCTTTAAAACTAGACGCCCAGTTTACAAATGGGCTGCAGCTTATCTAAATTCTTTTTTAAATATATAGGAAAGAGCGCTTATGAAAAACAATTATTAAATATATATTGATTACTTCTAAATTAAACGTATTTTAAAGCAAAGTAATTGTTAAATGGCATAAATGTGCAGGAACGAAATAAAAGTTATATTTAAAAATATATAAAAATGTTGTTGGCGAGCTAACATATGGAAAAGTGTGGGTAATTGAAAAAAATACATATATATTAAAAAATGTATAATAAATAATATTTTAACTAAGCAAAATTTACTCGCTAGTTAATACTCAATTGTTAAACCCGTGTGCGTGAATCTCAATCACACTGATCGCCAAATGCGCCCACTTATACAACCCACCGCGCATAACTACTGTCAGTTGGGTGATAAAAATTATAAATACAAAAAAAAAAAACAAAATTAGTAAAAATAAAAAAAAAATATATTTTCAATTTTGATTCTCTATAATTTCAATTATTTTTGTTCACATTTATTAAATAAAAAAAAGAAATAATTTCAAGTAGCTGCTAAGTCACTGAAGAAGATTATACACAAACACGTGCACATACATGCGTACATGCATAGCAAGTAAGAGGCTCTAAATGATGTTAAGTTAATGCTTTAATCTTGTTTAAGAAAAAAATAATAATTATAAATAAATTATCTAACGAAAAACTACATACTACAAATACACACACACACAAACACTCAACTGTGAGAAGTATTAACATATTGTCTAAATCGCAGATAACTGCATACAAATCACGCGTAACGGTTATTCAACAAACATACATATTCAGTATACACAAAGCAAGTAATTTATGAAATTTATAAAAAATATATGTATATGAAAAATCTAAATAAACTATTAAAGATAATAAAAAATAAAAATAATTTTAAAAATATTTTGAGGCAAATATTCTACAAAAAATATTATAAAATGTGCTGAAAACCTCTACGAAGAAAATGAATTTTCTCAGTTACTACTAAATACATGCCCTACCACTTAGGCATAAAAGGAAACTATATTTGAAACAACATATTAAATTAAAGTTGCTAAATTAACTTTCGATAGGAATATTTAATGCGGAAAGTATAAAAAATGCATAAATGCAATCTATGTTATATACACATTTATATCATATGTGCTATATCAAAAAATGTCCTAAATTATTTACAAATACACAAACATATATACATATATATATTCTAGATATTTATATTATATATGTCTGAATTTATATTTATCTACATCACAACAAACTAAGTACTGTGTAAAACTTGTGAATAATCTTTACTAAGTTGCTTAGTCTATTAAGCAGAAAATTTGACTTAAAGAAATTTGAAAAGAAAAAAATGTGTACATAAAACATTAAACTCAACGTGTGTTACATGCAGTGAAAATCCAACAATAAAGTCTCTATTAAACTTCAAAAAAAGCAACTGTCTTGGCTCATTTGCAATTGATTTGCGCTCGAAAAATACATTTCTCTCCCACACGCTCAGCTAGCGACAACAATCAACTGTCAAAAACAGCTGCGCTTAGCAAGGACGCATACCACGTTGCAGCATGGACACCTACCATTTACAGCTGTAATGCTAAACGGTAAATGCATTTGAACAGTAAAAATTTTATATTAAACATATACCCCGCAACCTAAATACGCATTTAAATAGTTGTAGTGATAAACGTATATTTGAATAAATTAATTACATATAAAATATTTATACTTTAACTCGATTGTATATAGCTGCATATGTAAAAACCGAAAGCCCTGTAAAATATATATATATTAAAGCAGAACTTAAAACAATAATCAACTATAAGTTATCGTTATTTTTATTATATTGTTTACCTGCTTATAGTGTTTCAAAATATGCTTAATTTTTATTATTTAAAAAAAACTATTTTCATTTAATTCGAAACTATATGAGATATTTTAAGCTATAATTGTCTTAACGCCCCTTGTTTATAATGAATCTCGTGCTCATCTTGTAATGCCTCATGTTCCTTTCACTCACTTGTTTATTTAATACTGAGTTAAACTTTATCGCCACATTGAAATATATTTATAATATTTTTTATATACTCATCTTGTATATATCACTATTAAGACATTACGAAGCTTCCGTAACATATTTATAAAGCGCAAAAAAATTCAATTGCCAAAAAGCTTGACTATAAAAGTTGTTGAAATGTATTTAACCGAAAGTTAATTATTGAACTTATTATAACAAGTATTGCATAATAATCCATAGAAATTCCTACATTTCACTTTATTCAACTTTCACTTCAATTAGGCTTAGTACCTACAGTGTAATTAAAATTGAAATTCTAGGCTCAAGTTAAAGCAAATACAAATTTAATGCTTGAAATTTGCAAGTAGTCCTTTAGACTCAGCTTTGTTTTAGCTATAATATCTACTTGTATTTTGTGCACTTGCCTAATTTAATAAAAATTGGCAATTTATCAAATTTTTTATCAGGTAAAGGGCTTTTTGTTATTTTGTGCTAATCTTGATAAAACATAAAGCAACAAAACGCAGAGCTTTTCACCCACACATGAGCATTTGACATCTTAACAAGTTAAAAAGAAAAGCGCTTTTTGGTTACGACACAAAATAGAAAATCTTGATAAATTGGCAATCTTCACAAATTTGCAAGATGTTTAGCTGTTCAGTATTACAAAGTTATATAACAAGCATTATTGACTTCAAAATCCTGTAGAGTAAGTGCGAAAGCTTTTATATAGCTCAATTTAGCAGTTATATAGAACTTAATTAGGCTTAATTAAATAGACAACAAACAATTTTAAGATTTTTACATTTTAGTCAAGATACTGATATACACCTACTCAGAAGTTTAGCTGCTTCGTAGACTTTATTCAAACGAAGGTGAGCTACGTCTAATTCTATATTTAATGGTTTAATAGAAAGTAGCTTCAAGCTTGACTTATTAAAAAGGTTACTTAAAAGCATACATATTTAGTTAAGCATAATCTCAATTACTTTTTCTACTTTATTCTAGAAAAAAGTTAGAAAATTGAGCGATAAAACCACGTAAAAACCATTTCGGTATTCAGAAACTAAAGTTAATTTTTTCATCAATCAATTAAAATAATCTAATCGATACGATAACAATTTTCGAATAAAGAACGAACTAATTTTCTCGCCACTGTTCTCTACTAAAACTATTCTAAATCGATGTTGTAATATGTACATTCGAACAGAAAGGAGCTACTTGGTGCTAAATTGAGTACAACAACATCATTCCATTTCGAAAAATTAGATTGAAAATCAATTCTAAATTTTCATTCCTTCTTCTTGTCATATTTCTAACCTTTTCCGAGCGTTTCTTGCGAATAGTATATGATATTTTGCTTGATTCGCTCTACTTCTTCTGCCAGTTTCGAAATTTATGCATTAATTATTTATTGAAGATAATTTCCACTGTTTCGATCCTTAGTTATGCATTTTAAACCGGTGGTATTATGATGTAAGATTGTTCGCGATCATATAACCATAAATATTAGGCTTTCAAAGGTTTTATGCTTTGTCAAAAAATACTACCAAATTTGATACCTTAATTTATGACGAACTTTGGTATTAATTTTTAATCTTTGTTAGAGGATAAGTGCTTACGGAATGCAATTTTTTAAGACATCTGAGTAGACTTGGTGATTGCGGGTTCGTAAAATCGTGTAGCTTCTCCCATTTTCGTTCGATATCATGTAATTAACTTTTCATACCCAATCTAACCATGTATTTATGGTAGTGTAACTTAGAGGTTATTCTTATTAAAATAAGTAATCCAAAACCAATTATATTTACATACAAATCCATATTAATGCCGTTAACTCACTTAAAACTCATGGGCATCCCAAACATACATACAAATGAATTTCACAAAAAATCTTGAAACATTGTTAGCAACACGACAATTTTTTTTTCATTCATTTTTTCCGAATTTTTAAATTCATTATATATTATTTTATTATTTTGCTAATAAACATTATAGCACTTGTAAAAATTTATTTTATAAATTTGTGGTTGTTTGCATATTTTCAAAACTAATGCCTTGTTTTGCTATAATTTCTTACTCTCCCATAATTTATTTCAATTTATTTGCATTATTTTATTAAACTAAAATTTTGTGATTGTGATTTGTAATTAATAAAAAAGAGAATAATAAAATAAAATATATCCCCAGCTGGCACGAGTTATGTTTACTGCTAATGTGAGCGAATGCATTTCATACTAAAGTTTAAGATTTGAAAATGAATACTAGCGCTTATGTCTCGAGTACGTGCCATTGTGAATGCTAAAGTGTAGCTTTACAATGAATGACACATATATGAAAAAGCAGAATAATATTGCAAATCTAATTAGTATAGAAAATCACTTTCTCTAATTACGCCAACACTTCTATGTAATATATATACAATTTTAAAGGAATTACAATAAACAAAATAGAACGCCTATGTAATACATACTGCTCGATTGCTATGTAAATAAAATGGCATTATAAATATTTATTTCATTTAGTAAGCATCTCAAAACGCGCACACACACACCACACACATACACCTACAATGGAATGCTTTCTGACAATGCGAATGGTTTTTGAGGAGAAGAAGAGAGAAGATACAAACACTTATAAATATTTGTATGTAGAAAATTTTCATTACATACTCACACATATACAATTATTTAAACAAAATCTTGTAGAAAATCGTGTAGATAAAATTAAGAGAAAAAAATTTTGTGGATACTGTATTAATTCGCTATAATTTATCTTATTCATGGAAAATGATGTAAACATTAAAATTTTAGAACTACTCTACGTGTTTGCTAGCATAGATGCTCGTATATGAGTATATCTATCTATATTTCTTTATATAACTTGTTGTAGAGTGTCTAAGTGTTGACTAATGTTTTCTACTCTCTTTGTATTCCATACTTATTAAACTTTTATATAATTCTCCGTACACTTAAACTTCCTTTTCTCTAACTTTTATATAAGAAAACGTTCCATTACTATGCTTGTTTATCCCTGCTATATTAGTAATTTTGTGTAGCATATACAGCATTTCTTAAGTGTCTCTAATTATATGCCGTTGGTTTATTCTATTTTTAAAATGAGTGAATCTGAGTGAGTGTGTGAGTAGAAGTGGACGGTTTATTCCAGATATTGAAATTTTTGTCACAACTATAAATATAAATTGTTAAGTAAAGCATGCTTTAAAGAAAGATCCCAATCAAATTCAATTCTTATATGTTAAACTTTTTTATTGAAAGATATCAGACAATTTGCTTGGATTCTTGTGCAAGCCACGTTACAATATTCGAATAATTGTTCAGACTAATCATTACAGCATATAGCTGCCATATAAGCAGAAGCATCACTATCAAAGTAAAGATATTTTTATACCTTTTATGTTATAATAAATGCACTTGTGAAGGATATTAAAGCTTTGATGCAGCTAAGTTAATGCTTTTGTCTAGTTTTTAATTAATATTACAGAAATATTAAATTTAGATAACTTTTAGACAATAGATAATTAATAGAATATAGCCAATAGATAAATAGATGATATATAATAAGATAATATATAGCAGATAATAGATAACAAAATTATAAAATTTACGCTATCCTAGATATTTGATTTTTCATACTCACAGCTTTCAAAATTTTATAAATACAAACACAAACGGTGCGCAGTAAAGTTAATATGATAAATATTGTAAAACGAATTTTTATTTGTTCGAAGTAGTTATTACCAAATAATACAAAGCAATAGAATTACTTTTTTTTAGCGAAAAACACTTTAAGAGATACTAGAAAAGATCAATGACATTTTCAGACTAAATTCGCAAGTGATCACTAAAACATTCACAAGAATTTAACTTGGGAAAATAGCACACAACCATGTTATCCTTTGACAAACCTTCACATGAAGCTTGCACTCAAATGTCTTCCTTTTCATTGCACTTCAATCGTCGGCATTATTATTACATTCTCACATTATTTCCAATTGAATAGCGTCTGGCAGTCTCACATTCTGCAATGTTTGTATGTTAGTGCGACAATTATTGCCAATGATTTCCTTTCGAATGTATCAAAAACTGTCAAACGCACTGACAGGCGTCAACCGTGTAAGCCATTAATTTAAAAGTTTTGCGCCAGCAGACAACACACGCCCAAAGCCACGCCCACACATTTAGATAAGCAAAATGTAACAGCTTTGCAGGAAAGTTCTAGGCATGCCATTTAAGGTGTTGGTTCTGGAAACAAGCAACAGGTTGCAAAAACGGCTAATAGTTTTATTATGGGACTTGTGAGACATATTAACGCTTTGAGCTATTTACATATATATGTGTTTAACTTAAAACAGATGTTTCCGTATAGCACCTTATGTGAGTATATAAATGAATGTGAT